TTTCTGCTCTATTCCCTTGAGCTTTATTTGTCTTAATTTTAAAATAATATACATTTTCTTTGGCATCTGAGCTGTTCCCTTCATTACTTAATTTTATTTTTTCCCTCCGATAAGTCAACTCGCAATTAATCCAGAATGCTGAATTTGTGACTTTGCAGATGCCAACACAGTAAGTGCCTGGGATATCATCACAGGCATGAGATAGTGACTCTCTGGGGAGATCAAAAAGAAACCAAGATGCAAGAAAATGCTGCTGTAATTATCTGCAAGTGGGTTAGCTCAATGTCACTGCAGCAAATTCTTTGTGGTTACTGAAAGTGGTCTCTCAGTACCAGAGAGCAGTCCTGTCCCTGAATATCTGCTAAAGAACATCAACAAGGACATTAAAAACAGATTAAAAACAAAGCCCAAAAGACTTAATGCTCTTAATCTTTGACTGTGCTGTCACGACAATGTACTGTGGCACTTTTCTCTTGGATGAATTTTTCTCCCTGGAAAAGTAGAGCAGAGTATTTGAGGGAACTCTACAGCTGGCAGCAGGGAAATTATTTCTCTGATATCTGCGTGGCTGCACCTACACATGCTGTTGAAAGTTGTGGGGTTTTAAGTTGATCTTTCATATGGACCTGACAGCAAAAATGTGTTGCTGATTATTTTAGTTGTTCACTGTCCACTAATGAGTGCAGAGTATAGAAAGTGCCTGGGCTGAAGCTGTCGTGATTCCCCGGCGTTCACAGTTGTCGGTGCCTCTCTGGGCTGCTGTCAAGCTGCCGGTACACATTACTGCAAATCACTGAGCAACTCGTGCAGACCTTGGAGTCTTCAGGTGCTGCTCAGGGCTTGAGAGATTCCAGCTCCAGTTTTATCAAAATGCTGGCAACCTGCCACGCGTTTGTGTGAGCTTGACTGCGGAAGGTCAGAGGAGGACCCTGAAAGCCATTCAGCTGTTTCTTGCTCAGAGCTGTGCTGGGTAGACAGCATCGCCCGAGATGCACTCTTGTGTGAGGGGCTGGAGTATTTGATGCATTTCTTTTCAGCTCTGTGTGTGTGTGTGAAGGAGCTGCACAGCTTCTGGGCTGTGCCCTGAGAGTACCGAACGTTCACAGCTTGTCGGGTGGAGACACGCACTAACTAGGAACCAGCGGCTCCTCGTTATGGGTGAGGATCGACACAAGGCATTTGTGCATCCATATGGATGCAAGGACTGCATCAAGCTGGTGGATTCATTGCTTGTTCTGGTTCATGGCAGGAAAAGCAGGAGAAAAACATATCGTCTCGCTTAGATGTGCACTACAGAGCTGGTCAGCTGCAGGGCAAGAGCCCTCCTGGTCTCTCTGTCAGGCATGGAGTAGCCTGCTCACTGTCTACTGGGACAGATGTGGTATGGTACCCTCAAAGCCACTGCTGGATGGAGTGGCCTGCAGGACTCCCTGTCTGGATTGGGAGTTAAAGGAAAATACACATGCGCTTCCAGCACCATCTCTAGAAACTTGCTTACACGCAGCATTTGTCCCCAGATTTCTCAGCCTCTAACCAGCCCGGGAAGTGTCAGAAAGCTGGAGAGCACTCCCGTTTTTACAAATGGGGAACAGAAATTTTCATTTGCTTCTAATATGTCTCCTCACGAGGAGTGCAAGATAGGCAGCAGCTTTTTGGCTGTTAGACCATCAGACCAGCCATAATCATCATGTTTTATGTTTCTGCACGGGCTCCTGGCCACCTGTATAATGTCCATCTGTTGAACTGGGCAGGATGCCTACCAGCACTGAGATCCAGATCATTTGAATGAGGCATGGGTTTCCAGGAGGTGATGATGTTCCTGAAGGACAGTTTGCGTGACAAATGCTGTCCCTTCTGCATGGAGTCCCTCCCATGCACCACTCTCATGGCAGTTGTATTCACCTCTCGTTACTTTAAGGCATTTGGGGAGATTCATCTAGAAGAATTGTAAACATGTTGTGGCAGTGATAGGAAGTGAATATTCAGAGAGAGTCTCTGGCCCTCTGAGACTGAGCAATTTTAATGTGTTCAACTCAGAACTGCTCACTGCTTTTCTGTGAATGGTAGTTTTGCTGGAAAATGCAGTTTTAGAATAACCACAACTATTTGCCCTCTGAAGTGAAATTTGTGGACTAGCTCTAAGTGGGAAAGGATGTTATGCAACTGACTTCAGGAGTGATAGTTAACCTGTCTCTGCCTTCCCCTTAGCCAAGGTGCGAGGACCCCATCTCATCAAGCTGTGAGCTCAAGATCTCTTTACTGTGAAAGGAATTTTGAGCCTGCAATGCCCATCTCTCGCCAAATTCCGGTGAGATCAATAGTCTGAAAACCTGATGCTGGTCTTAATACCTTTCAAAAGTGATTAGGGTTATTAGAACAATATTTGGGTACTGGGGCTCTGAGCACAAAGTGATCATCGAGGTCAAGTTGGATGGGGCATCGAGGTCTAGTGGAAGATGTCCCTGCCCATGGCAGGGAGATTGGAACTAGATGATCTTTAAGGTCCCCTCCAACCCAAACCATTCTGTCATTTTATGAGTATTGAAAGTATATGGAAATGGAAGAAGCTCGATAGGATGGATCCAAGTCCTGTCCTGATAATCTGTCAGATTGTCTTGCTGCTTGTTGGGAAGAGGATGGTAAAGCTTATTTTGGGGAACACTTTGTTATAGGTCTGATAGTAATGGAGTGAGAGGGCCCACGTGAGAAGATGCAGCCAGACAATGAGTTTCTGCCAGGGCACCTTGGTCTTGGCTGGCCTTCCATAGTCAGCTGTGTCTTGGCTGTTTCTATGGAAAAGAATGCCAAATGCAATAAGTTATGAAATGATTGTTTTGTTTTGTACATTTGGATTGATTTGATTTCTCACTGGAAGCCAGTGGCTTTGTCTACATTAGCAAGTAGCACCATGCAGTAGGAGCAGATCTGCAGAGCAAAAAGGCAATAAAGACCTAGGCAGATTTCAGGGGGGGGGAGTCCTTCAAAACAGCTTAATTCTAATCCCATGTGAAAGAAATTTTGCAAGAAACTTGTAGCAAACCAGGAGACCAAATATTGTATGTTGAAAATGTTGGCTTTCTACTTACTAAGAATATTTCAAGTTTTTTTACCAAAACAAAGACTTCAAAAAACCTGACATGTATTCATGAGTCATTTCAATGCTGTTGAGGCTGTTAGGTTTCTTGCTGGCAATTGTTTCAGGTGAAATTTTGTTTGATGCTTCCTGAGGTCATCTGGCATTGTACTTAAACCTGTGTATGTGTGTGCAATTCTTGTTTTTGTTTCAGAGAGGTCTATACATAAAACTGATACCTTCATAACAATTTAAAAAGGTATTCTTATCACTTTCTCTCTGCCTGTACTAGAGAAAGGAAAAGAAATCCGTGCTGCTGGCTTAACTTTTTTGTTCTGACTCCTGTGCTGTGAGGAATCAGTCATGACACGTTTACCTGAGCTGCAGGAAATGGGGAGAGGGGGCAGCAACAACAGCAAGATGGGCATTTGGGAGCTGAGAAAAGAACTAGGGATCACACGTGCTGGGGAACAACCCAGCTGCAATGGAAGGAGAGTGTGAGGCTCGTACAGAAGTGGCTTTCGGTGGAGTAAGCTTTGCTTGCATGCTGAAGGCTACAGACACTGTCAAGTGGTAAAGGTGGGGTACTGGTGCTCTTAACACTTTGTGGACTCTGGAAAGCAATCAGAGTATCCAGAGTGTACCATAGTGGTACCCCTCAATGCAGTCAACACCCCAGGACACCAAGTGTTCCTGTTACTTAGAAATTTTGTGCTGTAAGTATTGCATTTTACCTTGACTCCGACCTCCCTACCAGCTACATTCAGTGATACACATTTTGGATACTTCAGTATTTTTCTGAAATGTGATTTTGTTGGTATAAGACATCAGAACAGCTCACACATTGGTACAGGTTTTGGTGTGTGTGAATGGCCTAGGGTTTCCTGCCATATTTCTCATTCAATCTTGGCATATCCAGAAGCATAGGGCAAGGAAAGGCTATAGTCTTGACAGGATACTGGTTGTGGTAAGTAATGTAAGTAAAGTAAAGTAATGTAACTTACATACAGCAGTATGTAAGTCTAACATATCAGGGATAAAATAGATATCAGCAAATCGCTATTGGCAGTTTAACAAATTATAACCTGCTGTAGATTTTATAGCAAGAGATGAGAGGATTATCATATCAGAGAAATAATCTGTATATGTGCATTGCCCTTCTCGTAGTTGCCACCTAATCGCTCCTGTAACTTGCACACCACAAATATCTGCTACTTTTAAACCTACTCAGTGTGTAAACTGTGCCATTTTAAATACCAACTCTGAATATTATTTGGTACCTTGTGCTAAATTTTTGTGGAACCACTTACCCTAATTCACTGATTTGTTTTTGTTTGTAACTAAGGGTTTCTATGAGATTTCTCTCAGTTCCAGAACAAGAATTTACTACTGTGGTAAGCACAATCTAAATGTCTATACAGGCATAGCAAAAGCAATTCTGACAAGTCTTACAAGGTTTGTAAGTCCAAAGTTTCTATTTAAGTCTTGCTTGTCCAGCTTATGACTTGAGTTCTTTGTTAGTATGCCTTTCAGAAAAAAGAAAAACACAGTCTTAAAAATTTCTTTTTAAAAGACTCCCACGCCTGAAAAATCTAAGTTGGTTTTTTGACAAAGAAAAAATGTCATTAAAAAGGATGGAGTTTTCTAGAATATTGCCAGTGTTCATTCAAGGTTTTTTAAAAAGATGAAGTCAGAAAGGTTTTGGAGCCAGCAGGAGTTAAGACAGATAGTTTTCAACTGCCTATTCAGGTTTATGTTCTCAGAAGTAGGGCAGTGTCAGATAGAAGTTTGCCTGGACTTTCTCTGGGCTCAGAAAAAGTCTGCAGTTAATTGTAAATATGCATACAAAGAGCAGTTCTTAGGTGGGTTATGAAACGATTCGGGGAGCCTGTGAGTGACCAACTCCTTTTTCTCTGTGGTTTTACAGGTTCCAGAATCTGCTGTGGTCTCGAAAGGCGTTTGTGGACAGCGTGAAGGTGTATAACCACAGCTACATCTACATGCCAGCTTTCTCCATGAAGACGGGGACGGGCCCCTCCCTACGTGTCTATTACACCCTGGCGGACTTCGGTGCCAAGCAGACGGTTCTTTTCGCCAACCCCAATTTCCTGCGGGACATCGGCAAGTTCTGGAAGAGCAAAGGTATCCACGGCAAGCGGCTTTCCACGGGACTCTTCCTGGTCAGTGCCGCCCTTGGTCTGTGTGAAGAAGTAACAATTTATGGCTTCTGGCCGTTCTCGGTGGACCTGCACGGGAGGTTTATTAGCCACCATTACTATGACAATGTCTTGCCCGATTCCGGATTCCACGCCATGCCGGAGGAATTTCTACAGCTTTGGTTTCTTCATAAAAGTGGTGTACTGAGAATGCAGCTAGAACCGTGTGAGGACCCTTTAATCCAGCCTTCTGCCTGAGGATTGTAGGAGTCGGTTTGGAAGATCCGATAGTTTTTTAATTTCCATGCTCTCCAACAGAGAGTTCTGTTTTATGTTGATTGTTTTTAAAGGGAAAGTAACAGTGGATCTGCATGGACCATAAAAGTGCTACTTGAAGGCCAAATGGAATACGTCCTTAGTGTTTAGTGCTTCATGGAACTGGGATGGGATGAAGTGTATCTCTCCATCGAGTCCATTCAGCAGCAGTGTGGAAACAATGTCAGAAGTAGCACAGCTGAACTTTCCGGGGACGTTTTTAAATGACCGATGTAAAAAGGGCATTAAGGCTCGGGTAGACACAGGGCCACTCACAAGCTTTTGCTGACAGTGCCAAATATGACTGTCTGTTCAAAATCCATTTCATTCCAGATCGGCACCCTGTTTAACTTTCCTTTTTCCTTTTCTTTCCCTCTCTGTTTGTGTGTGTGTGTGTGTGTGTAGGAGAGCATGTGTGTGTTGTTGACTTTGTTTCTTTTCCTTTTTTTGTCCTTTTTTCCTTTTTTTTTCTTTTTTTTTTTTTGTTTTCCCAATGGAAGGAAAAGGAAAGGCTTAAAAGCCCCAAGAGCTGAGGACCATCAACTCCTCTGAAAACTCTTGGGAGAGTGAAGGTGCTAAGAATCTAGTGAGAAGAATGTCCTAGGAATGCCCTGCTACTGAGGATGGATAGACCTACCTGTTGAAGGTTTTATCAGGATAGTTTAGGTCACTGCACTTACAGCTGTGCTAATGCTGTACTGTGGGCAAGAGCTGGATAAGGCAAAGTGGTCTGAAAATAAAACATGTTACAAAACCAGTAGTGAATTGCAGCCTGGTTTCAGATGACCTGCTGCAAGATTTCCACAGTGACTTTTGTAGTAGGGGTGGTTCCTGACCTGTTTTACTGTCCAGCCTTAGGGATTAATTCTGTATTCATTTGGACTCCAGATGTTTACTGACTGTCGAGGGGATTTGAGGGGTTCAGTGGAATGCAGAATGAGGTTCTTCATTTGCTTATAGCAGGAAAATTGCAGAAATGAATGTAAGTGTCATTTAAAATGAGTCGAAGCTTTGAAAATCGTTTCTCTGTGTGTGACTAGCTCTTCTGCTCGGATTGTTACGTTAGCCTTAAAGACTTGTACTTTTCTCGCAAGATTGTCTCTGGTTAAAGAGAGTCTGAAAAATAAAACAGCCTTTGGGAGCACTGAAAAGCTGCATAGCCAGCAAGTAAAAGGAAAAAAAAAACGAGGATGGCCTGCCCTTACATAAGCCAGCCTCTCTCCTCGCAGTGGGTGAATTATGTCAGTGTGCGCACTGCACACACACTGCTCCAGCCTGCACAGCGCCTGAAGGACTGTTTTATTTTGGGTTATTACTTGGGCAGCAGATGGTCCTATGATCGCCATGTAAATGAGAAATCTTTCTGTTTGTTTGCTTTTGTTCAGCGCTGTAGGACAAGAAGAGAATACCAGCTCAGTCCGTGGTGCAATTTTTAGCTGCAAGGTGTTGTCACCATTAACTTCAAAAATCCAGACCCGTGTTCTCTTTCATATCCTTCCATCATTAGTAGCCGAAAATCTAGTCAAGGTGTTGAAACAACAAGACTCATCAGGTTTCTCCAACAACTTACTGTGCTGTTTTAGCTCCAAAGTGCTAGTATTTTGGGGCACGTGTCCTGTCATATGTTGATAATGTCTCTCCTTGTAGACTACCAGCTGCAAGTTATATAGATATAATTAAAAAAAAAAAAGAAAAAGAAAGCAAAATCCATGGCTCTTCTTTAAATATGAATAATTCAACTATCGGGGTAGGAGACTGGGGGGAAAAAAAATCATATTTTGCTTTTCAAACCTATGTTTCATAATAAAATTTTCTTTCAGAGTATGAATATTCCAAGCATAAAGCAGGCACTGTTTCGTAGGGTTACAGGGCAATGCTAAAGGGTAACATGGAGATTTGTATTAAATAGTGTTCTAGATATTGTTCTGATAAAATCTGAATGTACTTCTATAGCCCACGTTATCTTCATCCATATTTTTGTTAAAAGCACAGTCAATGCACTGATGGAACATCACTTGATAATTCATTCCCTTTCATTATGTTTGTTTTATCTATGATGTAGGCACTTGGTGAGGAAGGATTTGAAAGTAAAACATTTTTCTTACTGTTTGTTATGGCAGAATTTAACTGAGCCGCCTGTCTTGGAGAAGAAGATGTGCCTGTATGGTTTTTATTGTACACATCAAGTTTTGCACTTTTTAGTGCTTTATAGATGAGATTATCTGTGAGAACAACAGTTGAAATATGGTGTGCTAAAATGGCACTTCAACAGGATGCCAGCATTCCTCAGGGGTGGCAGGGAACGAGTAGAGTAGGGGGGAGCTGCCTCTTTGGTGGTCATTTTTTGATATTTTTACCAATACTTAGGAATTCAGCTCTGAAACTCTCTGCCAGCTCTCCAACTCTTTGGCAATCCTTTTTTCCATGTCTTGAGAAAATAATTGGATTAGAAGAAAAAGGGAAAAATATGTATTTTTGTAGGAAAATTCTGTCCAGTGTTTTATAATATCTGGCTTATTGATGTTGAACCAGTGTCCTGGGTAGCTGGACATGTTGTATTCCCCAGTTCTGTAAGACTGAATCTGTAGCCTGTGGTCTTTGTGAGTCCCTGTCTGCAGTCCTGAGGTTTGCAAGGAGATAGCTTCCTAGAAATTGTGGGGACAGGAGAGACCCAGGCTGTGTGTGATGTGTGGCTGCTGTTGGAGAACTTGATAATTCTGGCTCTATTCACATGTATGTATAGTGAATATAACTGCATCTTACAAAGGCAGCCACCTTTGATGAGGAAGTAAAGGATTCAAGGGTATATATTTTTCTATTACTTCCAAGAAACTGGAAGTTGAGGAAAGAAGAGAAATAAATGCCCCTTCTGAGAGAGCAAAATCTGTTTTAGCTGGCTGACTTGTCAGTCCATGGAAACACTGGTCAGCAATCAGCCTTTTGCCCAGCAAGTAGAAAGGGATGCAGGAGAGCACTGCAAGTCTTTCATGGCAAGAGCAGTCAAAAAGACAGAACCAAGCAGCTGTGAACATGAGTGACTGCTACCTGACAGAAATGCTGAAGTAAATATGCTCCCTCCATGCCAAGTGTGAGGCTTGTCTTGCCTAAATCTAGGAGGAGGGCAATCCATGTGTAGGATCATTGATGTGAAATATGGCATTGCATACAAGAGCCTGAAGATGTAGCCACCTTCAAGAGGAAGGCCGTGCCCTGGGATAGGACCAGGCTTCTGCTTAAGAATAGGCACAAGCAAATCCAGGATAACTGTTAAGTGTGAACCGTGAGGAATCAACATCTCACAGTCGCAGCAAACTTTGGTGTGAGGGATTATATCCATCCAGCATTTACCCATCAGTTGATTCCAGTCCATTGATGGCAGTGCCCTTAATCAAATCCTGTTGCTTGTGTTGCTCTATTTTCTTTGAAGTAAATTGAAACCTTAATGTTTATTTTGTTAGTGAAATTCCCTACTCTAGTGTCTCTGTTTCCACTGTCAGTCCCCGAATCTCTCTGATAGTATAGCTAAAGCTGCACAAATCTTTGCCAGGTTGAAAGCTACTGCAGTTCATCTTCAATAGAAACTAGTTCAGACTGGCCAGATGATTTGCTAATGTTCCTACTTACTGATTTTATCATAGAGCTGACAAGAGACAGAAGTGCTAGAATCTTTGCTCCACCTGCATAGGAAGCATTGCCCCACATTTATAAGTAGAATAAATTAAATACCTTTATAAGAGTTGTAAATGCAAGATAATCTGTACTGAAATCTCTCTAGATACAATCTTTTTGGGGCTGTGTATGTTTTTGAGTAAATCATGATCAGTTTTTGAACTTGCAACAAAACTATGTAAAACTTTTTCTTCTTGGTAATTATGAAGTCTTTGGGGTTCCTTCTGAAACAGACAAGCAAACAGAAACCAGCAAACTAAAATCATAGAGAAAATGTGCGTGTGTTCCTGAGAATAAAAAATCTGTAATTTTGGCACAAACCTTGCTACAGTGCTAAGGACTCCTATTCATGAATGTTGTATTTTTGCTGAAGTGAAGGGACCAAGTTTGGGGTGAACCAGCTACTAAAGACATAGGACTAAGCCTTCATAACACCTTAAGTTTTATAGAATATAGAAATATTGGCTAGTTTTTTGACTTGACTACTTTCATCTTTTTGTTAGTTTCCTCAAAGTGATGTTGTAACATACACTGCTGAGTTAGCACCTCTGCAAGAGCTGAAACAAGGTAAAACATCTGCCTTTTTAAACTCCATGTCCAGAACTGTGGTAGTTATGTAAAACCCTTCCTTTATACATCTTCAAGAAAACTAGCTTAAGGTCTGGCTCACCCTTGCCTGTAATTAATAAATAAGGAGTGAGGATATTGAAAGAGGTGATGCTGTCTCACCATTTGGTGCCTGCTTTGACTTTTCGTCAGCTTAATAAGTTAGTAAGTACTGGAAGAAATCCAGGTTATATGAAGGACAGGCAGTTCTTGAAGAGTTGGATGATGACAGAAAAAAAAAAAAGGAGGATCAAATTAGTGGTGTAAGAAATTGGAGTGTATCAATTCTTTATGAAGATCCTCAGTGCTTAGCAACTGTAGGACATTTTCATCTGGCAGTGTCTGAAAAAGGGTCTCCCTGTGACCTACCATTGGTTTTCTGCAGGATGGCAGCAAAGCAAAATGCAATGAGGAGGGGAAGCTGATTAAACAGAAAAGGAAATAAAATGGAACAAAGAATGATGATGAAGAATCTGTCTTTCCCTTCTTTCCTGCCACTCTCCCTAAACATGCACATTAAATGGACTAACCAGCTATTATGTTTAGTCACTGTGTTTTTAGTGAAATGGTATGGCAGGGTTTCCATTCACTGATACTTCCAAGTAAGCAAAATTCATTGTCCAGAAATGCCTATTCCCCATCTCCATGGCTGTTTGAGGGATGTTTTGAAGGCTGTGACTGTCCTGGTGTGCTGTGACCTCCCTAATGGGCCTTGCTCCTGTTGTCACGTGGTTTCATCAGATTTCCTTCTGGAATCATCTGGACTTGTATTTTGCCCCAAGACATTGTCCTAAAGGATCTCTGCTCTATTATTCCTGATGACCATTCACCCTGGGGATAAAACTGGGATTTAAAAAAATCAACCATAAGTTAGTTAATATACCTTGTCATTTGAACCATCTTTTCTTCTCAAGTGTTGGTAAATCCAACAACACTTAGCTCCAAATTGAAAATACTTCATTTAGGTGAATTCTTCTCTCACTGGAGAAGAAGAAGAGAATGGACGAAGGATGCATTTTTCAAAGTGTAAAATAACATCTGTTTCCTTGAATTCCCATGTTTTATCTCTTGGAATCTATCATATGTTTGACTTTTTTGTAGTTTCTTAACAGAACAATTAGTAAAAGACTTAGTGGTCTCTTCGTTGAATATCAGCAAACTCGTTTTCCTAAGTGTAATGCAAATACCCAACAGGAGGCTTAACCTGTCCTCCCTAGCTGATATTTCTTTGGCAGCAATGAGAGCTTAAACAGCTACTCATTCCTCCCTGGTTATTAATTTTCATCAGTTTTTATTACAGCAGGTTGAGCCCTAGTGTATTCAGCCTCTTCATCTTAATGCATATACTTTAAAAGGCATCTCACTCTGTCTTTTCAGCTGTTAAAAAAAAGAAAAAAGAAAAAAAAAGCGTTTCTAATTGAAAATGGTTGGGTAGGTTCTCAGCAATCAGGAGAGACAAACACTACTGGATTCAGAATTTTTCTGACCATTTTGAGTTCTCTACAGGACTGTGAAAATACTCCATGTGTGTCTGTAGGGTTAAGCTGTGCAGGGCAGAGCAGAAGTTTGAGCCCTTTCCCTGGGGTGAGTTGTTTGGTTGCGACCGCTCTGCTCTGGCTTTGCCCGGGACCCGCTGGTGCTGCCCTGACCAGGGCTCAGGACCAGGGGATGCAGCTCAGTGACCAGTTCCCAGAGTGCAGACCAGATCCCAGATAATTACCCATGGTGTGTTTAACCCTCTCCTGCTCCACAGTCAGAAGTGCTGGCCTTGTTGGAAATGATGGCAGCTCATCCCGTTGGAGACCAGCCTGCTTCTTGCGCTGAAACCCTTTAAATCCCTGGCAAGTCTCAGAAGAGCCTATTAAAACTGCATCTTAAATTAATGTATGTGTACTCCCTGCTGCTGTGGAGTCGGTCAGCTTTCTGCTGAGCTGAATGTTTATTCTGTTTGGGAACCTCCAAGGCAAGTGAACCTTTAGCACTCAGACCACCTAGAATTTATTGTGTTATTTGGTGTCTTCCCATGCCAATTTAAACCCCCCCCCTCCTTTTTTTTTTTTTTTTTAGACTGTGTTTAACTACTATGAGTGAATGCAGAGTGAGTTTATGAAAGCAGCACCACCAGTAATTGATCTCTGGGTTTATGAATAAGCTGGTGCTCAGTAAAACACTGAAGTACCTTTTGGATGGTTCCTGCTGATTTCTAATTGTATATTCAATGAATTGTTTTGCTCAGATGGGGCCCATAGCAAAGATGAGTTGCATCATTTTCTGTTTATTGGAAAGGAGCAATTACAGGTGCATAATATATTTTAAGCTAAATTCTTACCAACGAGTTATGGTATTTACATATTCTGCAGGAAGCTTTGTTATTGTGTGATTATCTTGGTAGTAAAGGAAAGAATTTCACTGAAAATAAATGTGCAGAGGGAAAGCAATTTTGATTAGGACAGCTAATAATCTGGAGTCCTGAGACCCAGATTTGAGTCTCTACTCAGATGTCTCCAACCAGGATCTCGCTGTCCTGCAGAAGTGCCATAATCACAATTTCTTTTTCTTCTGTGCATGTATTTTTGTAGAAAATGCTTGAACACATTTTTTTTATAATCCCTACATCGCTGAAAGTGAACACTCCTTCTTCAGGAGCGCAAGTTTTCCTTTCAGGTACCCATAGCATTTAGGATGCAGAGCAAAACCTACAGAAGATGTCCAGTTTTCAGGAAGGTGCTGTTTTGGAGTAGTCTGGCAGGACTCCCGTGGACTCACGAGTTGATTACTGCCTCTTGAGCTGTAGAGGTCGAGCAGATGATACAGAGTGTGCTGCACTGACAGTAAAAAAAAAGGTATTATAGCTGCAGCTCTGACTGCTTGATGTCTCCCTTATGCCGAGGGGTATTTCTTTGTTCTGTGAGGGCTCTTCAAGCGTGGATTTTGATCCTGCAGATCATGGACTGGCTAGCTTTAAAGACCTGGACTTTGTGCTGAAAATTGCAATGAGCTTGGAAATGCCTGGAAATTATGTCCTTTAGTGTGTCATTTGGTCATGCTGCATGGTTTGGCCTTTTACAAAACAGACCTCTCTGTATCCAAAAGCCATTTTATCTGAGTGTGAGACTTGTATATACGAGGAGGTCACTGGAAGGTGAATGCCTGATGCTGCACAGAGCAAGGACTTCCAAAAAACACTGTGGTTTTATTTATATCAATAATGAAATCCCCATTGAGCCAATATTGGATTAGGTCAGCTTTCAGTGCTCTTGAAACTCCCACTCCATAAGTATTTCCAAGAATTGTTCCATGCACAGACAAAAACAGTAGATTTTTTTCTGTTGTTCATGCACTTCACCTTGCATTGAAAATGGAAAGAAGTGTCAATCAGAGATCTTACCCTTTTCAGATGCCTCTCTAGGCTAACTAAATAATTTATAGGCACACAGTTACATAAACAAAACAGATAATAGCCTGAAGTTTATAGCTTAAATGCTGGTAGGTATCTTGAAGAATTACTTTCCAATTATTTAGTGGAAAAAAAATTACACAAATTTTACATGTGAAAAGGAGCCTTCTTTTCATTTGTTCTCCTAAAATGCTGAACATTATTTTCTCCTAAAATAACTGTACAAGCTATGTTAGAGTTATGCAAGAGTTTTCCCTGGGTTTCAAGTTATTCTGGGTTTCAAGTTATTCTGCACCTCTAACTTTGTATTCAAGTCCACACTTCTGCAAAACTGTCTAAATAAAAAGTCTAAATCTGGAAATTTAGACTACTCTGTGTGGTGTCCTTGGATAAAAAAATTAAATGTTATACTCCAAATATAGTCAAAAAAAAAAAAAAAGAAGGAAAAATAAATTCATTACAGAAGTTCAGACTTTCTGAAGTCTGTTACCATTTATGTGCTGCCATTGCGGTGTCCAGAGAACCAGACAAAGACCAGAAAGGAGATAAATACACAAGATGACTAAGTCTTTCTCTTAATTGGGACCTACAGTTATTAGCAGATGCTAAGTCTATATTCTTTTGCTTCTCTTTCCCTCAGTTCTTGTTGCACTGGGGTGAACTCCATTCCCAAGTTGTTTAAAATTTTCTCTGCACGACAGTGAACTTTCCTCTGGGCTATAAACCTAAAAAATTGACAGACATAAACGGCTTCAGGTTTATCAATAATGAGTGCAAGCAAATTTCTGTGCAGCATTCCACATCCTCCTGGTACTAATTACTGTATTAACTCAGAATTAAAATGAAGGCTTTCTAATTTCCAGTACCACTTACTCCACTGTATTTCCAGTCTTTCTTACTGCAGTGATTTCTCTGTCAGATGAATGGAGATTGTGTTTAGCTTAGACACTGTAAGAGTTAGTTAACTCATGCTTGGGAAGTAAACTGGAAAAAAAAATTATAAAATATTAAAGTTTATCTCTTTTGGACAGTGAAAACAAGCAAATGAACCACCCTTTCTATCTAACTGAATTTATACTTTTGTGTTACAATCCACCCACGTTGTTAGTAAGTACCTAAGAACATTACCTTCAGGGAACACCTGAAGTGTAGGAAAGTGGAAAGCCATGCATTTTTAATGAGAAAAGAAGGTTTTCTCCTCTCTGCCCTGCCCTTCAGTTTCTAAGCCAAATTCTCTACTCTCTTTTACTGTTCTCAGTTGTGTCAAATCAATAGAATTGCCTGGATTTTACCCAGCTGTCTGTTCTCAAACCTGAGGGAATTCATCCTATGAAAAATTTAAATTAAGCTAATTTTAAGGCAATGCCAGATTATGGGACTTAGTCAAAGCTTCCTATTCTCTAAACCATTGATTTTTTTTTTCCCCACAAGTGCAGATCATGAGCAGTTCATGCTATTTGTTGGTTGTTTTTGTAAGGCTGATATCTTTATGCATTTCAAACTTTTGCTGTGCTAAGGTGTCACAGTCTGAAATCAAATCATGATCTGTGTCATGTCCTTCTTTCAGCAAGTTGTGTAGAAGAGATCCATGTGCTGCTCCATCTGTCAAGTGTATTGTATGAGCCAAGAGAAAATGAAAAAAGGACTTTTCTACAGTGTGAAGCCTCACCGTTGACTGGCTGTATCTGGGAATTAGATATCCTCAATTTATTGTCCTTGATGGATCTGAAGCCTGCCAGTGTTTCCACTCATTGTCAAATAATTTTGTTACACTTTATTGATGGAATGGCACGATCTTTTCCCTCTGCTTTTCGACAGCAATTCTTCTTTTCTGATAGTGTTTGCAGGGAAAAAAAATCTTTCCTTATTCTCTTTTTTTTTTTAATGACAATTTATATCTAGTCTCAGATGTTGGTTTTCTTAAAAATGTTGGGCCTGTGCTTTTTTTCTGTGTTATGCACAGTATCTTCTTTTCAATGATATCTCGACAAATTATCTTCCTCTTAATCATTAAAAGTCTTAAAAAAATTTATTTTAAAATTCATTAAAATTTTCTGGATTTCTTAAAACCCAGTCTGGCTGTAGGTGTCTTTGGGTTTCAGCCTAAATTGCATGCAGTCAAATCTTGAATCTTTGGAATGTTTTAGCGCACTCATAATCAACCAGGCACCCATAAAACAGAAATTCATTTTCAAAATTGCTTTCAACCCCAGTGAAAAACAGGGGGTCTCTAATAAACCTTTTTAGTAATGGTCTGTAACTACCATGGTGATTAAAATATTTTTCATCTTCATTTTGTGTGTCATGGAAGTTACAAGCTCAGGCAAGGACCTGAGCGACTAAAATCAGTATCAGTCCAGTTGTCCCGTTGGTTTTGGTGCGTGCAAGTTTTGACCTTACTATTTTTCATTTTTTCTTTTATTTATGTCTCAGTGAATATCTCTCAGATTCTCATCCAGTACCTAAATCGTTACTGTGTGTCATGTACAGGAATTGCTTCTTTAAGTAAAGGTTCTGTTCCACTGGAGAGTTTACCGGTAGTTGCATTTTAAATGAAGTAAGGTTTATACTCTTCTTGAGGGAGAACTGTTTGGATGAGAAAGCAAGGCATTGAAAACCACTGCCTGGATCTCATCTTGCTTGTGCTGAGTACCTGTGCTGGGGGTAGAGGGCAGCCTCTGGCTCCTGAACCTCCTGGGGCTTTGGGAGGTGCTCTGGGGCTGTACCTCGTGCTGAGCTGTGGGGCCAGGCTGGCACAGGGGTTTGGAGTAGTCCTTGGGCTTACTCACAGTCCAGACAAGAGCAGATCCGGCAAGAAATGCAGTGTGTGGTCCCAGCCCTCACTTGGTCGGGGCTGAGCAGCAGGCACTGCCCTCTGCCTCCTGCTGCCTGCTCCCTCCCCTGGATATGGCGTGGGGTGCCTGGTGCTTAGACACAGCCGGCCTTGCTACCCCTGCTGGGATGGAGTTTTCAATCTGAGAAGTAGTCTCCTAGCTGGAAACTCATGGAGTGTGGGTATGTCATCCCCTGCCCTGCCTTTCCTGGTCAGGAGCAGCTCAGCACCAGAGCTGTGTGCTGGGAGCTCCACTTTGCAGCCTCCTGGTGCCACAGCAAAGCCAAGACATCAGCTGAGGGATAAGCCAGCAAGTGTCTGGGCACTCTTGAAAGGCAAAGAAACTTCCAAGTGCAACAGCTACAGCAATCAAATAGCAAAAAGGCTCTTTTTCCTTTGTTGTGGAAGGGAATACAATGCAAAGTATTTTTGTGCCGTGCTTTAGCCACTTCCAGGTCAAGAGCTAGAAGTTTGAATGTGCAGTTTGCTGTAAATTCTGATATTTCACCCTGAGCATAGGATAGAAATGTCTTCTATTTTTAGTTAGAAACCTAGGTTATTGTTTTGATAAGGTGTGTTGAAGGACAAATTATGTATCGAAGTTATCAACTGAAATATTGTAGAGTCATTTTCATCTTCTCCAGTTTTGGCAAGGTCAGGGTGACTCAGCAATCCTACCTTTCTGTTTCTTATCATAGTGGACACCTGGCTTTAGCCTGTGTTAGTGCTGGTTCCATCCTGTGTTAGTTAGCTCCATCTGGCTATTTCTGAAAGTTCAAGAGAAAAGAAAACAAAGACATGAAGGAGATTTAAGGTGCCTCAGTGTGATGTTTTTATAGAGTGGTACATTGCTCTGATAATGAGCTGTGAAATGTAGCATGTGGATGATGATGAATGTAAACGCCTGCATGTGTTTTTATTTGAATGTTGTGTCCATGACATGGATTATTAGTATGAGCTCTGTAGTGTAAAAATACTGAAAAGAGAAAAGAAATGGAAAGAAGATATTTCTAGCCCATTTTGCAGTGAACCACATCCTCTTTCAACTCTTTCCCTTTTCAAAACCAGACTCGGATTTTGGTAACGTGAGCTTTACCATAAGGATGGTAACACACAAACTGCTCTCTTCCTAAAGTTTAATAAACTTCTTTCCAGCACTGTAAGAGAAAATCTGTTTGCACTCCAGGAGATCAGACTTCTTCCCAGGCGTGGGCTCACTGGGCTGCACTGGCTGGGAGATCAGTCAGGCTCACTGATGATGCCACACCATGTGTTTGCTGCCCACACAATCCAATAGTCTGTTCCTGTGCCAGGAGATAAGTGGCTTGGTACAGTTTGCTGCTTGCTTATGGCTGGAAGTTGAAGTGCAAACTAAAATGCTGTGAGCTCCCTTCCATTTCTTGCAGGCACAGCCTCAGCTTGAGGAAGTTTTGACTGGAACAGAAATGTACCAGGCAAAGATTTTTCAAAATTATTAATTTTACTTTTACCTCATTGAGGTATTTATGAGAGGTCAGTGATTTCAGGAGGGACTCACCATTTGTTGTTGGAGCTGCAGGCATCCGGAATATCTGCTCAGCTGTAGGTGACCAGGGAACCCACAGCTCATTCATCTCTGGGATTATCCCAACTCCCTGGTGTTTTGCTTGGGAACAGAGTAGGTTATTTGAAGGCAAGCAGTCCAAGGAGCATTGCTTTGAGGCTTCTACTGGCTTCTACCTGCAAGGTCCCAGCTCTCACCTTCCCTGTCATACCATCTGTACATCTCAGGCCTCCTGCTTTGTAGCTGACCCTGTCTCCAAGCTGGCTATGAGAGGGGACAACCCTTCCTCCTGGTGCAGTGCTCAAGCAAGTGGTGCTTTAATCAATGGTGATACCAAACCATAAACCTGTGTTTGGAAGGAGCTCAGTGTTTGGATAAAACAAGCTGACTTGGGATCAGCCTGTGGTTTACAGTAATGCTGGTGTACAAAGCCCAAGTAGGACAGATGCAAGATGTCTCCTGTGTCTTTAGGGACTGGGCATAATTGCCATTTTTGCTCTCTCACACAGTATTTCCAAAGGAGCAATGTGATGTGGGATGTCAGTGTTAGCTGGTGAATTCTAGTACTTTTATTTATGCTCCTTCTTCTCTTGCCCAGTTTATTGAAAAATGTGATGGTAATGTGGTAGTTCGATGTCTTGAGGTGATTTTGAAGTAGATAAGAAAATCGTTATGCCTCTGAGGTTGCGTGATTCCATGGATTTGTCTTGCCACCAGTGACCGGCATGTAATATTTATTGTACCATTTATGATGTGTGTAAGCTTTACAGGCTGGATGTTGTGTCAAAATGACATGAGCACTTGGGTGAACATCTTGAATCATCATTATTTTGGCACGCTCAGGGGCAAAGGTACTTGTGTGGAGTGTGTAAAACATCACAAAGTGTGTTGTTGTTCAGAGTCTTGTGATTAGGGCTTCGATCTAATTCACTCTCCAATGTAGCAAATGTTTGCTGTCGGCTAACACTGTTACAAGGACTAAGGGTTTATCTTTCTTTGCCCTGCAATAATGTATTTTCTATTATATCAGTAGAATTTGTTCATTTTCAAGTAGTGTGCAGTGCTCCTTTGAAGAATGTCTCCTTTTCAGGTGGTTTCATGGTGACTGTACCCCAAAATGTCTAGATGTCTCTCAATAGCAAAAATTGCTTTGTTATTGAATGTATTATTTATTAACAGTATCTTGTCTTTTTCTAGTCACATTTTACAAAATATGCCACTATCATCTCATGTGATTTTTTATAAGAAAAGTCTTATTTATAATGTTTGTGCAAGTGGATGGAAACAAATAACAATTTTATAGTAGCCCATGCCTTTTTTCATAGCTGCAGAATCTTAATGAGCATGATCAGAAGGGACAGGCTCATTGTTTCATTTAATTCTGGTGGAAATTCTCAAAGGTAACTATTATGTTATTTATTATTTGGATTTAATTATCTTAACAAATAAATATCTCCATTTTAAGAAATGAAAATAGCATTTGTGGGGCTTCTTTTTCTTCTCTTTTCCCCGCTCTCAAACTCAGTATGTTCAAACAATCAAGGTAATTTCCTGTTTCTCTTTACCGTGTCTATTGTCGGGTTGAGATTTGCATCTGTTGCCCTCATCTGATATTTCTGGTTATTCTGCTTACTCAATTCCTTTTCTTTTGTAGCTTACTCAGTAACACAAATTTATCTAGTGTTAGTCTGCGAATTAACCTGGGCCTGAATCTGTACCTTTTTCCCTTCCCAGAACTACCAAAAACACAATCCAGAACACATAGGGTGCACATAGAAGTCCCAAGGAAACACAGGCATTTTTTAAGAGAGGTTCCCATTCTGTACTTCAATCAGCATAGCTGAATCCCATTTGCTTGGCCTGGTATGTTCTAATGCTCAGTCTAAAACCCACGTACGAGTCCTTGAGTACATTTTCTAAAGCAAATGATGGTTCTAGTATCTGAACATCTGATGGACCTAGCCTAGGTGTCTTTAGATTTTCAAGCTGGATTTTCCAAGTGCAGATTTTCTGTGCACAAGCCTCTTCAAGATAGCTGGAGTTTGACACTGTGTTCCTTTTGAGATTATGAAAATTTCCTCTCTCGCTCTAAACATCCCTGCCCCAGCTCCCTTTAAAACAAATGGATGATATAGGGTGAAATGGTCCTTACCAAGCCAGGGACAGCTGGAATAGGGTTCCTTAGCCTGGTAGATCCAAAAAAACCAATCATCTCTCTCCTCATTTTATTACAAGAATTATCCATAGCAAATATGGTCTCTGCTAAGGGAAAAGGGGAAGATGGAAGCTCCCATTCCTTTAGTCATGATGGTTTTTTTTCCAAAACCTGCCATTTGAGCCTGCCATGTTCCTACACAATGAGTAAATGAGAGTTCCTCATTCTTCTCACTTAATATTTCCTAGTTTTCAGAATATACCAGCTCCATCTAGGTCACTCCCTAGATCTCTTCCTGTTGCAAGAAGGGACAGATGTCAACGGGGGCTCAGAAAATGAGAACTCCCTGCCTCTGAGGTTCTGCCAGGTGAGCTCTCTGAGAGCAGAAGTTTCTGTGCAGGATCTCGCTGGGAGTGCTTGCTTGTGTGCAAGCACATTTGCACATCGGCAGTACTGCCTGGAAGGTGGAGAATCTAGGTCAAATCTCAAAGTCCTTGAAGTTACATTTATTTCACTTTCAGCTGATGAAGTGCTACTTGAGGGTGATGTCTTGCAGCTACTCTTAGACCTTAGTTGTGTCACTGATCCCAGGTGTTTTGTTTAGCACTGTGCCTCTTCTTCCTAACCCTTTAACCTCAATAGACTAATATTCATTCCTTGTATGAAAATGTTCTGTGAAAAGGCAAAATGTTGACAGTATTAGTGCCTCAGACTTCCTCCATCTGTCTTTGACAGAAGATGCTTCTGTGTCATAGGGAAGGTCATTGCTGGGACAAAAGGAGCATATCCAATGCAGGAAAGTCTTTGGTATCTCACTTTAAATCCTTTTCCACCCAGATTTCCAACCACTATCACATACCCAGCTTGGACAGCTTGGTGACACTGTTACTTTTTGGCTCCTGTTTTCTTCATGTGCTTTTCTAGTTCATGTCCTCGTGGCATTTTAGCAGAAGTGTTACACATCTTCTATTATTTGATCTGGATGTCTGGTAGAAAATACACTCCTAAATGAAAAGGCCAGCTGGCAGGGAGAACTGCAGCGTTAATTATGGTGTTAATGAGAATGGGCTAATGGAGGTATTCCCATCTGGTCCAATTTTACCTAGCTCTGTTCAGAGGTTTTAGGGAGTTGATGCATCAGGCTTCTGCACACAGGGATCAGGCTGTGGCATGTTTGCTTAAACCTGTTCAGCAACAAAGAGATTTTACCCTCATTCAGGCAGCAGATGATGTACAGCATGTGCTGTCTTCCTAATGGCCATGAAATTATTTTATGTGTAACATGAGTAACAACTTCAAGTAGAGGATTTTAGGAGAAGACACATTGGGACTTTGGTCAAAACCATTATGATTGCTGCTACAGATTGCCTACTTATCCTCTCAGACTGATTAACCACTTTATGTCAAATTGCTTCTGTCATTCAGAAAGGACCAATTCCTTCTAGTCTCTCGGATATTAAAGTAAAATATTTTTTATGTACTTTGTAAAAGGCTGGCAGGGAAAATTGTAGTCTTGAAAGAATCAAGACATCCTGCCCATAAAAGTTCATCCAGTTGAGTGCTAATCACAGGTCACCATGACGTTTTGTGTTGCCATGCTGGGTTAGAGAATATTTTAAGTACACCACAACCATGAGAGGTTGCATTATGTTCATCTTGATTAAACTGATACTTCATAAAACATCCTTCTATATTGCCCAGTCAGTGTGGTAATTAACTTACCATCGTACAGTGTGGCTTTTTCTCCATCTATCAAGCCCAAAAGCTTTGAGTCTTCTCCAGATAGGACTCCCTAGCCTATTTAGCACTTGCTTTTAATTAAAGCATCCAGTGGCTGTGATTATCCCTGTTGCTCTTCCCTGCAGTCTTTTCTGGTCCTGTTTCTTTCTTTTTGAGATAAAATGCTTAGAATTCCATGGAATATGAATTACAAGGTTTCTTTTCATTATTTTCTCTGGTTGTCAAATCAAGCCTTGCTTATGTCCATCTTTTAACCTCTTCCCTGACAACCTCAAGATCTGCAAGTCTGGTAGGCTAAGCCACTAAATCTAAAATTTAAAATTATAATGTTTTTTATTTCTTTTAATATAACTGTTCTATTTAATTTCTGTATACATGCTGGGTTTTCATGAGAAGGTTTCAGATATTTAAACTAGACTTGTGACTAAAGAGAGATTTAAATGCAAGCCCTATCCATTTGGATATTTTAAGGAAAGAATGTCAGGACACAACTACTTTCTGTGAAAAGATCTGCAGGGGCTTCTTTTGTAAAGAAGAAAAAGAACTAATTTAATTATCTTGAAAGATAATGTGAGATGGAATCATTGGCTCTGATCCACTCTGCTACAGACTCATTTTATTCTGTAGGCATTTAACAGGGATAAGACTGTAATGTGGTTTAGTCCCTGTCAACACAATTTGATCCAGTTCTCAAAAAGATCACCATGGTATTTATAATATTTTGATCCACTTTTCCTTATTTATATTATTATGTACTTTATTATGTACCCATAAATGAGCAAAAAACTAGGGTTTTCATAATCAGTACCAGCAATATAGACGTCTTACAGAATGGTTAAAAAAAAAGTCAAGTATATACTGCCAAATTACGATTCAGGACCACAATAAAAATATTCTAGATCATTTTAAGGCAGGATATATGCATCGACTTCTTGGAACTTTGTATTCACTATTTAGGATTACAATTAATGATACTTACAGATGTACCTATCAAAATTAATCTATACCCATGTTATTATGCAAAAACCTTTCCTAAGACATAGAGTACTTTCCCAAAAAGGGAACATTCTTTTACTGTGTTATGCAGCCTTACTACAAGAAAAACATTATAGATGATGAGGAAAAGCTATTCAGAATCCCTGTTATCTGTCATGATACTAAAAATAAAATACAACTGTGTATTGCCGAATCATCCTCAGACTCTGTGTGTGGTGTTTAAATTTAAAAAGAAGTGTTTTAAAATAAAACAAAGTACTTGGAAATCAAATGAGTGTAACATTTTCCAGTAAGGAGATGAGACTGAAAATATTCATGGGAGAGACAACACAAAGTTCAAAATAGTTCTGTCGCATTCTCTTTTACAATCCTGTGCCATAACTGAGCATTTTATCTTGGGTTAATCTGTTCTTCGGAGTCCCTTTTAGAATCTAGATGTCTCAAAAGCTGTTTCATTCAAGTTATTAAAAACAAGATTTAATTTGAAGGCTTCAACAGTTTTAATATGCATTGTTAGCAAAAACAATTAATAAAACTGATAACCCATCTGTGGTAAATCAAGAGCTTTGCCATTCAGTGCTTTCTTCATGTTCCCCATCTCCAAATCCACCACCCATTGCCATTGCAAACACTGGCTGACTACTAACAAATGCTTGGCGAGAGACAACACCTTTGGTGACACACCAGACGTGTCTGGGGACAGGGAAGGAGTGACAAAAACATGAAAACAAAAGGAAATTGTAAGTGACAGCAGCATGGCCTTAGATCTGTTGAGTGACAAGGCACTTTTGTCTTAGATTACATGTGACCTGTCAATTGTGGTTTAGCTCTTGGGGTTATTAACTGTCTGGATGAATATTTGTTAGCGGTATCAGCCATCAGCAGAGCTCATGGCTGATAGAAAAAGACAAATACAACGTGTTTTATGAGGGACAGGCGAGGGTATAGACCTTGTGGCAAAAGGGCCTGGACTCCAGTGGGCAGCAAGTTCAGTGTCCAGTCAACAGCAAGCAGTTGGGATGATGGCCAGTGATCATGTGGGATGTCCAGGAGACTGAGGTTGGGGATCTTCCCCTGTGGGATAATTGTGAGTCAGTATCTGGATGTACTACATCTGATGTTGGGGTTGGGCTGGATGACCTTTAGAAGTCCCTCCCAATTCAAACTACTCTATAATTCTGTGTTGGATGTCCTGGTGCAACAGAGGCACTAAAAAATTGGAGTGACTCCAGAGAAAGTCCACGGGGTGGGAACACAGGACACTCAAATAGAACAGGGGCAGCTGCCCCTTTGGTCATCCTGAACAGAAGAAGATGCAGGTGCCCTTCAACTTCCTGCCAGGTGGGTGAGAGTCAGCAGAGGTAAATACAGAAAGGATGAGAGGCAACAGCCACAGGTTGCAGAACGGAAGCCTCCTGTTAAGTATAAGGAAAACATTCTGCTGTGAGGGTGATCAAACACCAGATGAGGCACCCAGGCATGCTGTGGGGCCTTCAGCCTTGGAGATCTCCACCCAGAACAGGACTGGACAAGGCCCAAGCAACCTGTCCGAACCTGAAAGTTAGGTCTGAGTTACAGACATCCCTTCCAAACCTGAACTATGCTATGAGTAGTAGGGATGTCAATAATACTGCGGTGTGACAAAGTGGGTCCTAGAGGGTCAATCCTAAAATGTGTCCGGCTGTAGGATGCTGTCACAAGAAGTTCTGTTTCTTCACCCCTGTGACATTGGACTGTCAAGAGAAGGGCTTGCATTTCCTTTTCCATGAACTGCAGGAGAATAGAACAACTATATCACTCCAATGTCATTACAAGAGGGGGCAGAACGTCTTCCTAAATCTCTTTTCCATTCCAGGTGGATTCTTGTGAGTGCACTTTGTTTGATACTGTGGGCCTGTCTACCAAGAAACAAGTTACCTGGTGAGACTGCTGCTGTTTCTTCAGTGGGGCTGTTCAGCCACCTGGGGAACCTCGTTGTTGCCTTTTGAAAGTCCAAATTTTCTCATGCTCAAGCCTGACATGCAGAAGGACAACCAGACAGCGCACAGGTGTGTATCTCCTCTGTGGGCAGCTGACAGAACAGGCTGGTGGAACAGTGTGAGGGTGGCTGAGAACAGGGGGATGGAGCATCTCCCTTCATGCTTTTGTGGGATTGGGGCACAGTGGGTGGGAGTTGGTTTTCCCTTTGCCTTAGAGATCCCTTCCTGCTCCTATCTGCTCTGGCCAATCCCTCTCAGACCTTTCATCTTTCCCAATTTTTCAAGTACTCCACATTTCTCCTTCTTTTTCTCCATTTCTTCTCCTACCTCTTGCTCCCTTTCTGAACCCCAAACTTCTACCTCCCTTCAGGGCTCTGTCATTTGTGGTGCTTCCTGCCCACTTGCCCCACTCTGGTCACAGGATTTGCATCCTGTCACTCCCTGCTTGTTCTCACTCAGGTCCCTACAGGCATTGCTAAAGCTGCCACTCTGCATCAAAGACATTTGACAGACTGAGGCAGATGCTGTAGGGAAAAAAGCCACAAAAGTAGCCTGGAGGAACCAAATACTCTTTCATCAGTGCTTATTTTGATGGTCTGAACTCTAGAAAGCGCACGGCAACAGCACTGAATATAAAAGCAGTATAAATAACTATTTATTCAGTGTAAAAAGAAGAGATTCCTGTTTAAAAAAAAATAATTAAAAAGTGTGTAATTCAGTGCAGGAGCACAAGGGAAGTGAAAGCAGCTGAATGTTGCACAGACAAAGTTAATTCTTTTATTTTCTAATTCTGAAGTCCTTGGCCTCATGATTTACTGTGCTTTGAATTTCTTTTGGATCTAATTCTACTTATGTTTCCTCTGATATTTATGTTAACGACTTTGAATACCTGTTGGGGAGGGAAGAAGAATAACTAAAAAACTGGAGTAAATGCGTAGCCTTAGCTTGGTGTTGTCTACTGACTGCATCTAGGCAAACTTTCTCAGGTTCTTGTACAGGCACCTGCCTGTAAGCAGCTTGTGAGTCTAATCTAAGTGTTAATATCGAAGTTCAGCAGCATTTTGTCAGGGCCTCTGCTCTGACACAGTCTGTGCTCAGATCTTTGGACAGAAAGAGAGAACAAGGAAGCTGGAGCAGGCAACCACAAGTACACGAGGGTCCTAAGCAAAGTAAGACTAATTTTGATCCTCAAGGTGCACTGTGAGTTTGTGCAGGTTGTCCTAAAGTAGATCAGGTGAGCTAATCCCTTGAAGTGCTTATTCCTTTCTTTATTACCAGGGCACCTCTTTGCACTTCCAAGGGTCTGTGCTGAATTCTTACCTCTGGAGCCAAAAAAGTCCCTTTGTGCCTCTGTTTTCTGCCTGTAAAGTTCTTCCCTTAGACTTAGCCTGACCATGTTATAACCTCATCCAGAATCTTCAGACAAAACCACAATACAAATGTTATTGTGTAACCATACAAAGATAACATAACCATAACATAATATGAGTGCTCTTGTCCCTTTGATTTTATTCCTTTCACACTATTGCTGATTCTTAAGGCAGTTATCCATCTAAAGTATAGAAATAATTTTCAGCATATTACAGTAGAGTGCATCAAAATCAATATTTAGAGCAATCATATTCCACACATATTAGTGCCTTATCTTCTAATACATGGCTCATATTCATACAACTCATAATGAATGATCATCCAATGAAAAGCAGATCTGGAACTGCCAGAAACTTCAGAAATTTAATACGACCTCTTGGAAGACAGTCTGCTCTCTTCTTCCTCAAAAAAAACCAAAAACAAAAACAAAAAAACCAGCCACCAAAAGAAACCCATCCCATTTATTGTATATTTCAGAATATATTGCTCCCAGTTTTATCCTATAACAATGGCTGGTACTGAGCTTAGAAACACAATTTAGTCCAACTTCTTCACAGGAACTTGACAGTTTAGGTGCCTCATAATAGCACATAACTGGGACTAACCACAGTCCAGGTGATTTTTGCAGTCCTGCTGTGTCTCTCACAATCAATTGCTATCAGTAGAAATTAAAGATAGTGAAGTAGTAGTGATAATGAAGAGCACAGGAGAGCATACGTGTCTGAGCTCCTCTGGCAGCTACACCTCAGCATTTATAGTGAGGTTCATTTTGTTGAGGATCATGCCTCAGCTTCATCTTCTTGACTTGGATTTTGGTGTCCAAGGCAGTATCTTATCTATCATCATTCTTCTGCTATTCTAGGGACTATTCCTCTTGTTTGGGTTTTTGGGGGTTTTTTTGTTTAGTTTCTTTTTTTTCTGTTGATAACAAGCTCCATTGCTTTTCCCAATACAAGAGTCATTTATCACACTGTGAAACACTTTTGGTAGGGAAGCTCCCAGTGGCACGTTAGGATCTTTGTGACTGAAGACAAACGAATGTCGAAAACCATCGCCTATCAGTGATGCTCTCCTAAGCACCCAAGGCCTGGCATATTAAGAACTACTGTTCTGAGCTGTTGATGGATGTGCTGGACAGACTTTGCCCCTTGTCTTTTGGAAACAGCCCTATGTTATTGAGTGTGCATGGGGTGGTTCTGGGTCCTGTGCATGTCAAAGGAGTTGGCAAGTCTGTCCTCCTGTGCCCCACAATGGCTAGTCCACATTTTATCTTTTCTTAGGGCTTCCTCAGGAAACTGACAGATGTCTCCCCATTTTCCTGAGAGCCATAAACACAAAGAGGACAAAATCATGACAAAATGGACAGACTATGTTTCTTTAGTGTCACCTTCCTCATTTTAAAAAGGTGTACCTGAATTCCTGCCCCTCTGAACACATTGGAAACAACCACATCAACAGTTCCCTCCTCAAAAACTCCCCATGTGTTGTTCCAGGTGACTTTGCATTTAAGCCGCTCCTTTCCTTAAATCCTCTCAGCACTGCAAGGATGGGGAGGGAAAGCAGCTGCTGCTGCTGCTGCTGGAGGCCTGGTGTTCTCAAACCCTGGTGTCTGGTCTCCATCCCTTTCTTCCTCTGCAAAGATTCAGGCAGAAGAAGTTTCTCACTCCCGGGCAAACCAGACATTTACACACACAGAGATACTGATCCTTCATGGCTTTGTAGAGCACTTCTGCAATTTTAAGTCTCATTGCAAAGTCTCCAAAATAATTTCAAGTTAATGCCTCTATATGAGGCATGTAGGAAATTGTCTTAAAAGGGAAAAGCAATACAGTTTCGGATTTACCAC